GATTTATAAGAAAGAAAAGGATTATGGACTTTCATTACAATTACAGGCCTACCAGAGAACAACTCTTGCCTAGTCAGTTATGACTATAGCTAAACCCTTGACTGCTTACAATAAACAGACCAAGAATATTTTCCTTTCCGGCAATATATTCCTAAAAGACAGTGAAGGCAGTGAGACCTATATTTTGAGATGTTCTCACTGTGAGAAACATACTTTCCTGGTGTCCTCCCTGGGCCTAGATGGACTAAAACTATGGAGTGGTTCCCTCTGCCTCATTGCAGCATATTCCATTCATAGAGCCAAAGTCAGGACTTTTCTCTGTGGATTCTCCTGTTTAAAGTTTTAAAAAAAATTACTTTTAAGCTTTGCCTAGGGTTCAAAAGCATTTGTATTTACCTCTGTGCATCACTTGAAAATACTGTCTTAGATGTATTTATGCATTTTGCAACGTTTGATGATGCTCAGTATTTTGGATTTGTCATCTGGCAAGTAAGTAGATAATTTGCATAACACTTACCATTATGCAATTATGACATTTAAAAAGATAAAGGAAACCTTCTGTATGAGGTTGTCGAAAAGGAAATACTCAAAAATGTAAATGTGTTCTACCTTACCCTTTACTATCATAAATTTGTTGCTAGAAAGTTCCTTTTTCCACTTTTGAGGCTGAGTTTTACTGCCTGGTCTGCCCTGGTCTAGTGCATAGGATTACTGGATTTTCAGCCTCATCATTATTTGTGGAGAAAACCTTTCAATTGTTTATTCATTTGTAATATTTAATCAAATCCTGTGCGGAGAAATGGATATGTTAGTGTAAGGAATTGGGCCCAAATTATCATGATTTCATTTAAAAAAGAAAGATCAAAGTATACATTCTGTTTTAACAAGGAATTGTTTAGATAAGCTGCCATAAATTGGAAAAACAGGTATAAATGTATCAACCTCAACAAGTTACAAAGTTTGATTTGGAATACTATCCAAATATATTTTTTTCAGATGGAATACAGACAGTTATTTTATGAGATTTTTATTTCCTTATTTGCTCAATTCCAAGATTTATAGGAGTTCTAATTTGACCCATGGCAGAAACACCACCACAGAAACAGTGGGGGGTTTTCACAAAATTTTATTATAATTATTTCCAGGCCTAAGGGCATATTATCATGTAGAGGTATACATTTTAAAATGGTGTTTCAAGTTTATTTATCCTTTTAAAGGTTCAAAATAAAAATCTATTCCTTTTTGCTTGTCTTTAGAGGGGGAGATATTCTGGTTCATTCTAGTTTGGTTAGCTGTGGCATATTTCTTGGGAGCTATCATTTGCTACTATGTTTGCACAAATAGCTAGAACAGATTTCAGTCTTTAATGAGTTGGATTATTCAGGTGAATGTGGCTAGAGCACTCAATGAAACCGAATATTTCATAATCGTCTATTACTATGAGCTCTTTTAATAAGCTTCTTAAAATAAGTCTTCAAGAAAAGCGGAGAAAAAAATAGAAGCAAATACGATGTTGTTATGCAAAGAAAATGTCTACATGGCACCACAATTGACTGGAGATGGTTGTGAGCATTAATATCAACTGAAATCTAATGCAGCTTGGGGACTATTGGTTCATCTTTAAAAAAAAAATTGTCAGATCACACAATGAAAATATTCAAATTAGAAAAGGTGGGAAATACACGAAATTTTCTTAAAGAAATGCCCTATCAACCCCAGAATCAACAAAGTTATGTCTGGACTCAAATTAAGACATTACAAGCCAACATTTCTGTGAGAGAATGGTAGACCATAATACAACAAGCCAAAGCTAGTCACAGATTTTCTCTCTACCCTAACCTTAAATAATGTCACTGTGTTCACCCTGACATGATGCCATATTACTTAAGGACTTGTAGAGAGAAATAGCCCATTCAAAGTGGTTGAAGTAAGGTATTATTGGTACAAGAAGGAAAATAGGTTTCACTTGTCTTACTTAGTTTCTTCTAAAGTCATAAGGAAAACTTACATTGGGACCTAATGGAATATTTTAAGGGAAAATTGCAAAAGACAGCATTAAAAGAAAGTGCCTAGTGGAAATTCTACAAATTATTTTGTAAAATGAAAGCCAAAGTTAGTAACCAGAAATGCATAATTTTCATCATAATGAATTACCAATTTAGAATTGAATGATGGCAAGTATTTTTCTTATCATCAAAATGTGATAAAAAACACATTTAATACTCTTCATTTATCCCTACCCATTTAGAGGGACCAAAAAAATAAATAAAATCCCATAGTATTCCTCAGGGGTCACAACAGATTCTGTTGTAATTATAAAGTGCAATTCAGAAAAATTTCAATGGTGTTTTATAGAAAAAAATAATAATATGGAAGTAAAAGATGTTTGTTGTGACTAGAATAAAGCATGGCACAAAAAGAAAAGTCTCTTTAATTCTTAATGCACTTCTGAGGACAACTTGTCTGAGAATTACCTGGGAAACTTGTGAGAAATCCTGTAGTTTCCTGGGCTCTATGCCAGATCTACTGAGCCTGAGTCCAGGGGAATGAAATTCAGAACCTGTTTTTACTGCACACAGTCACAGATGCTTCTTAAGTGTGGACAACTTTCATCACCACTCTCGTAAAGGCAGTTCTTCAGTCTGTGTGATCACTCAGGATCACTGGGCAAATCAAAGTAAACCAGTGGGATTAGTAAACATGTGGAAGAGAAGTTGACCATTTTCTGTTGTATCTGCATTTTGGTAGATTGTCTTACACATGGTAGCACTCAACTAACATATGTTAAATGGTTGGATAAATGGAAATTCATCCCTTACACAAAGACAAATGTCATTTGGATTCAAAATATACATGCTAGAGTAGAAAATGACAATTAGGAATTATTCAAGGAAACTGGTTGTTTTATCTTTTATGCATATGCAATAATATTTGGAATATAGAAGATAAATAAATAAAGTTAAATTACAGATGAGGTAACAAGTGAGAGACAGGGGGACAAGTTAAAATATAATCATAAACTCCTTAGCAAGACCTTGCTAATATGAAATAGAAATGTTGAATTACTAGCCATTATTATTTTTTTAACTTTTAATGTTTGTAAGCAGGAAATTGCTTATGGTAGCACAGTATAGTTTCCAAATTTAGGGATATATTTACTACACTTAAAACAAATAAAGAACATGAATGTTCTTACTCTTACATGTTTGCTGAAAGTAAGATTCCTTCCATTTTAGCGATGAGAAAAATGAGAAGCTCATTTAACATGCTTATTCATTTATTCATTCATTCAGGAAATACTTATTAATTAACTACTTTGTAGATAGTTAAAAGTGTTCTCTGTCCATGAAAACTCATTGTGCAAAATATTGAGAGAATGGCTAAATTGCATTACAAAGAGATAAGGGCAAATATATAGGTCTATAAACATGTATTATATTTTAGGGATGATTAGTAGTGTATCAGGGACTACACTTTTCTTTCTTAAACCTCTGCTGTGAGTCTGCTGGAGACCACATAATGTAACAGGTAAATGTACACTTGAAGGTGAAAGTCAGGGACTTTCTGCAGGAACTATCTCCACTGATACATCGGGGATAATCCAGAAGGAAACATTCTCATTTTTGTCACAGATGGTTACCCTCTGGAGTCGGATGCTCTGATTTGGATCATACTCATTGGGAGTATTAATGAGAAAAAGGCATTAGCATTTACATCTAATTCTGTCTTTGCTGAAAGGAGCTGTCATAGGCTTAATAAACATCTCCTCAAGTGTTTACAGACCACCGTTTAGAGCAGCAGTAATATTTCCCCTTCCCCTTATCATATCTCAGTTACGGACACCTCCTTCCCCACTATCGTTAAACTGGGTGTGTCCACATCCTGCTTCTTTTGTATTAATCTGCTTAACCTCTTTAATCATTTTGTCTGCTTAATTAACGGGCCAGCCCCTAACTACTGCGGCTACTATTGCGTCATTTTAACAGAGGTAGTACAAACACGTACACTGGCGTATCTTAATTAATAATGTGACAGGTCTATGAAGGTATTTGGCAATAATTGAAATCAACAGGTCATTAAAAATTCTTCCATGATACTACTAATTTGTTTGTAATAGCCTTTTAATTGCAGCATATTAAACAAAGACAAATGTGGGTTGGACTCTACGTAAAAAGGAACAACCTTGTCTTTTCTGATTAAAACAGTTATAATTTCTACTTCTGGTACAGTTGAAATAAGGATAGAAAGCTATATCCTGTGCCTTTGGCTGACAAGTTTCTAATGTTCAGGTGCTTTTTCTGAAAGGTGGGCTCCCTTTATGAAATGTTTGTTGTCAGTGAGGAACATTGTGTAGTCTAGGAGAAATCACAGAGATGCAGGTGCCTTATGAATAACCAGATGGGAAATGGAAGATGATCAAACTTCCTCCTAGACCCTATGAGTCAAACAGGAATGACAAAAGACTTTCCTTTGAAGCGGTGAGGAGAGTAAAGCTGAATTTTAAAATATCTTGTATACAAATGACGATAATGCCTTACACAAGCCTCTTTCTTAAAGACATGAAACCTGTTTTCTAGAGCTTTTCCCATCACCAAAATACAGGCAGAGTCTGCAATTAAACTCAGCAGCTGTTTAACAGTGCCAGAAACACTTACAAACTTTCAAAACGTTTCCTTCAAGCAAAATAATATCCTCCAAAGAGCACACTTCAAATTCATTCGCTACTGACTCAGAGGGAAGAGTGCCACCTATTGAATCATGGCCTCAGTATTCACAGCACCTGACGGTCCTTCCAGGCTCCCTCCCACCCACCCACTAGCACATCCTGTTTCCCTCAGAGAGCTGGATATAATAATGCTCTGAGGTGGTCTGACGTTCACGTGTAAGTGTGCTCATATCACGCTCTATAATTTGAGGAAAACACATGAATTTTAATCAGTTTTTAAAACAACCAGGCCTCTCTTCTCTTTTACTAGAATGGAAAAAATTCACTTTATTACCTCAAAGATGCCAAACAGTGCCATTTTATTACTGTGGGAAGCTGGAAGTCATTTCCGAACTCTTTTGGCAGAGGTGCTATGTAGAGCATCCAGTTCAGTCCTTTAAGTGTCTTCTGAGAACCACCACACAAACTCTGATTTACTGTCTTCAGGAGTTAAAGGGACCTTTTCTACCCTGTAACCGAAGAAAGAAAGGTGAAGTGTGTTTAAGAAGCATCCCATGAGACTTGCAAGAATATGAGTCAGCACAGAGTGGGCCAGATGTAAAGAATGTTTTGATAACCCACAAACATTTTCCAACTTGTAAATTTTATTTTGGTTTAAAAGATTATGTTGTATATTAAAAGACTGTTGTCTATTGATTGATTGGTCTTCAGGCCACTAAATAAACTTACATTTAGTTAGTAGTTCTGTGGCTCCTTTTTCTCCCCCTGCCCTCACCCTCGCTTGCTATTTGCATTGTAAGTAGGTCTTGGTATACTTTTGCAGGCAAGGCCCTGTCACAGTTAAAAAATATACATTATATATTGATACATGCATACACTCACACCCACACACACTCCTGTACTATGGCAGCACCTAAATTATATAAACATATATTTGAGTGATTATGCAAAATTTAAACAAGAATCACATGGAGATTTTGCATATTTTATAATTTACATAACCAGAAGATGGCAACACTCCAGTCACACTTCTTGCCATTTAGCAGTGAGCAACGACTATTTGAATTTATGTGTGAAAGAGCTGAATCAAATCTCTAGTAGTTAAACATTTCATAAGTTGGGGGACTGCTATTGTTATTAATTAAAAAAAACTTCACACACATGTATTTTGCCCGGAGTTTATTATGTTTGGCCAGTTTGTGGTGTCATAAACACTACATCATTAGAGGCAAAAACACAGTAAGAGAGAAACAAAATATTAAACCACTAGTCAGAAAATATATTAACTGTAGTGCCTGACAAACAGTGGGCTCTCTATCAATATCTGAAGAAATAATGAAGGGATAAATTATACTATAATTCATCTATCACGTCAAAAATGAGAAGCTATCTGACAGTGTAAAAGGAAATTCAGGAAACTCGTTTTCTTGACAAGAATTAGGGCGCTACTGACTTCTTGTAGAAGGCCAATCTTCACTTGCCTTTATATTTTTAAGCTTTGACTAGTAACTGTCCAATGCAGTTCTCAAAACTGTGGATAGTTTTTCTCTGGTTATAAACAACCCCAAATGGAGAAATGTTCTCTCTAGTAATTGCATTCTTAACAGAGTATTATATTCATAAATGGTATAAAAATATCCATGATGGTAGCCTTCAGGTTCCATGTCTTTTTTTTTTAAGTGAATTAATGTTTTCTTACGATGTTGTGGTTGTTAATGGAGAAAGCATTATGTTTTTCTTGTTCTCACAAGTTAGGGAAATATAATCTGACACTTGGAGTGACCTATTAAAGTATTTCAAATATTATGTGGGCTATTCCTTATTAGGACCATGGTGATACATCTGTTCTAAAGCAGAACATTCACACTTGACAGTAGGTTGAGGATTTCATGTTGCTTTCATTGCTAAATCCAGTAGGGGTAACAGAGGCCAAATATTCGAGTACCACCTGCCAGCCAAATGGCAGAGGGTAGTGAAGGGCTTCAGCAGGAAGCCAGGGAGTGCAGCGCAGCCCCTCTCCCAAAGGTGTCCGGGATGGCTGACTTAACGAGGGATGAGGTCAAGCTCACAAGCTTTGGCATATACCTAACAAATAGGGACAACTTCCAAGAGCAAATTCATTTCTACCTTGCTGAGTCATCTTTAATGGCTATTAAAAGGACACAACAGAAGAAATAATGGTACTAAAAGATAAAATAAAAAAACGAACCAGTTAAAAAAATGTTTCTTTTTTTAGAAATATGTCCAAGAAGCTCTGTCCATTTAAAGCTGGTCCATACATTGGACAGACTTATGTATTTCTTATATATTTATATAATTCATTATTTTGTATTTCCACCCACCCATCCATCCATCCACCATCCATCCTTCATCCAGTCATCCATCTATCCCAACAAAGTATTTACACATCATTTTATACTTTAACCCACCCACAAACCTAACCTGTTTTGGGTACATGCTACGTGATAAGCATTATTACCAGGGATAGAAACACATAGAAGATGGAGTTCCTTTACTCAAGGAGCTCAAAGTCCAGTTGGAGAAAAAGTTATCACAATATTACACAGTGTGACAGATGCTATCAGAGCTCTAGTCCATAAGTATAGAATGACGTGTAAATCAGACTAATGGATCTGGTAAGACTAATACTCAAACTGAATTTTAAAATATAAATAAGGAGAATTAGGTAGCTGGTGAAAAGCAAGGGTAATTCTAGTCAAAAGGCATGACATGCAAGACCTGTCTTTAATAATTGATATTCCTTTATATTCACAACGTAAACATTTAACAAAACACCACTCCTTTACACACATTCTATGCACACAATGTAATATAATTATCCATTTAACAATGACCTTGGAGAGGCGATAGAGCTTGATGGTTACACGTACTGCTCAAGAACCAGACTTCCTCAGCCTAAATCCTGGCTCTTTGTCTTTCTAGCTGATAACTCAACATCTCTCTTACTCAATTTCTCTTTCTTCAAATTGGAATTATAATATTACATCTCTTATAGTGAGTATTCAATTAATTTATACAAGAAAAAATTTATCTCTATCTGGCCATGAAATAAATCTCCCAATAGTTGTTAGCTAGGATTATACTTTCCTTTGTTAAAATTATCCTATTGACAATAATGGTCATAATAACAGCAATAATAATATTATTATTATTATCTGTTGAAGATATGTCTGAGAACTATTACAAACTGAGACTTACTATCTCAGAGGCCAAAGAGTTTCTGCTTTTCCTTAAACTTAGAACTGCTTTCAGCAGGACAGAGACACCACTAGAGCTTCATTTAGATGTCCTGAGTTCAAATTTTGTCTCTGTTACTTTCCAGCTCTGAGGCCTTGGGCAAGTAGCTTAATGCTTGTACTCAGTTTCTTACTACACATTAGGATGCTAAGGACACCAGTATCTCCCTCAAGGGTGTCTGGGAGGATTAACTGGGATAGCATGTGTAAATGTGACTAGCATCACGCAAAGATTTGTTTCATCATCCAAAAAATCCTTTAAAAGGCTTAGAAAATGCAAAATGGCTAATCTAAGGATGGTAAAAAATATCCTCCCCAAAATACTTTCTATCGTTTGAGAGATCGCATATAAATATTCTCATCTGCATTCGCTAACTCTGGAAAGCATTCTTGAATGTTACTGCTGACTTTGATAGGCTGCCTTAGCGTCTTTACCAGAACCTGCTCCGTGTTGCAGCTATTTGCAGAGGGCCCTTGGATAATGTGATAGGTTGGATTTGCATGACTCCTCTGATCATGTCAGAGGCAGAAATAATGGCAACTAAAATGGTCATGTGGAGAATGAGTTGAGCATGGACATCTTTTAATAAAATCTCTCTCTTTTTTTTTGATTTGTCCTTAGAATAACCCAAAAGAAGATAATATAATGCTTTTGGAGTAAATAAGCATTAAGTATGCTAACATAAAATGAATTTTCTGTACTTAGAAGATACATTCTTTAAAAGAGCACCAATCTCATGTGGACTACAAATACAAAATAACTTAAAAAAACCCTCTTAACTCTAGGAAAACAGATATTATTCTAGATCTTTCCTGGAATTATTTTTAATTGCAAATAGTGTTTAAAGGCTGAGAATCCAGCCTACTCAAGCAGTGTATACAGAGTAGCTTTAAATAGATTCAGCATATCATCATGTTGCTAATACTATTAAAATCTTTGGTCTCTCAACACCTTTTCTGCTTTTTTCCCCCCAACATATCAGTTATTTAATACTGTTACACCCAAGGCCAGGGTTCCTTAGTCTGCCTGAAGGAGTGTGGAAGTTCCAGGCTGCCATAGCTTCTATTTTATTAAAAATTTTTTTCTTGCCTGCAACCTGATTTCTTATGGTTCTGACCTAATTCCCTGATGCCTGGGGCTTGGAAGGCTGTGCTAATCTGTATCATGGATGTGTTGTGGAAAAGTGAGAGAACTGAAAGAAAGTAAACAAAGGAAAGAATGGATGCTGGGCAAGAGCTCTTTTCTAAAGTGGGACATTTTTGTTTTACGCTATCCTTTTAAAGAGGAGCCTAAATTTAACACATGGCCTCAAATACAATGTCCCTCTCTTTCTGATTCTTTACTTGATTAAAGCTGGCTAGTAAAATATTTTATGACTAGGACAAAAAAGGCCATGGCAGAATGCTAATTGTTATTATTATGCAATGAATCTCAATGTAAGAAAAGTATGTTTATGAAAAATAAGTCATGCTCCAGAAGTCACAGTGAAAGAAAATGTTTGTGCTGACTTTAATGTAAAGATTGTGAAATAGTCTAGGCTTTGTTACTAAGCCTTGGAACGTGCTGATATTCAGAGCTTTCTAGACCTCTCCACTAATTTACTATTCCTCTGGGTCTGTTCCCAGTTTCTTCTTCCCTTTGGGAAGCAGGTTCTTTTTACTGCTCAGATATGCATTTAACATCTTGTAGTCATTAATATACCAAAGGCAGGGAGTAAAGAGGCATATTTTCAAAGAGTCTCTGCTCACTCGATTTTGGATTACTATGAATCCTTGAGAGGTGGGAAGGTGAAAGTTATCCTTTCTTGGTAACCAATCTCAGGTTTTTCTTTTTTTGAGATTTTAAGAAGTTGAGATTTTCTTTGCATGGATTTATCAAAATAAAGAGGGGGCATCCGTTTGTGATTTGATCAATGATGGTGCACCGTGCTGTCATTGCACCTGCTCCCATCAGAAGAGATGTACTTTATCTAAAGCAAAAATGCGATCAGTAACAGTAATTGTTTCCAGCACAATGCCATGCCTTAGTTCAGGGATTTTATTCATTTGGCAGCTAAATTCATGCCTTATAGCCATGTGACTATCAAATGTGACCCAAACAGACATGATCCTCTGATTTTCAGAGCTATTCCCTGTGCCTACCCGAGATGCCTTAGCTGAGAAACTCCTGTGTTTCAGAATGTATTTACAGATGCAAAATACCTATTTGGTCTGTTGTTTAAAATAATTATTCATCAATATTTAGGGCTGCT